TTTTGACCGTTTCACTCCGTTCTTTCGCCATTTCCCCACTATACAGCGCCCTACTAGCATTTTAGGCCAAGTAGGAAACCATCGTGCCAACTGCCTTTAAAAAGCACCGAGCGCGCATGACAAACCAAATAGAGGAGGTAAAATGGTGTACAAGAGTACAAAAAAGCCAGGCACGATAGTAATATATAGCACACTCACACATCGCACCGATTATTCAGTATGGTTGGATCCTTTGTGACGATGCTGGATGAGATACAAGTCGCATACTCCTGGCTTCCTCACCACGTACTCTTGCGAAGAAAGAGCCTCCGTTCTCAATGTGTTAGAAATCAATTTTGGACGAGTTTCCTGTAGGCATCTTGCCAATAACCGCTACCGAAGGTACGGCTGCATATGTGTACCCATATATGCATGCAGCATCACGGCCGCTTCATACCAATCCCTTCGCTTCATAATTTGCTTAGCAAATGAATCGATTAGAGCGTCAGGAACGGTCGTCCATTTGTGGGCGGGCGGGCGTGGCGGGCGTTGGGTCGGTATGTTGTGGCTTGATAGGGCCCTTATAAGGGCACCTCCCTTGGAAAAGGCATTATGCAGCGCCTGCTCAGGGTCGCGGAATTCCGTCCTGCCAGGCGTATTAATCCTACTCGTCTTGGGGATTTATCGTGCCAACTGCCTTTAACAGGCTGGTGAAACTCGTAGCATGCTCCAGAGAAAATTTTCCGCTAACGACCGAGATGGTAATCGAGATTTCGGAAGCATGGCAGTTGTCACTCAGATGCAGCCTAGAGATGTTACCTACTTGCTCGTGAGCACGTTCGGCTGCGTCAAGCGAAAACGTATCACGCAAAGGCAAATATGACCCCTTCACAGGGTATCCCCAAAGTACGACTGCCTCAGCCATAACGCCCCTATCACGCGGAACTGGTGCAAGGTTGTCTATGCTTCCTTTCCCAGGTTGAGTTTCGATTCCTCAAGTAACCGCCTCCAACTACATCCCGAAGTGAGCATCACGCATGAGGGAACGGTTACATAAGTGAAAATGGGATGCTCATTTATGATGGATGTTATCCTCCGATATCTTTTCAACCTCTTGAAGAGTGTAGAGGCCTTTGAAAATGTGGTATAGTAAATTGGCAAAAGTAAGCTTCGTATTAGAGGATAGAAGTATGTATCAAGCAAATTTGAAGAGAGTCACTAAATAGTACACGCATAAAGGCGATTATGGACCATAAAATTTCGGGAACAAGCGTAATCCCCTTCACGTACGAGAAATGACCGTAGTGAAAGAGGACTGAGGTAAAAATTCCACAGAGCTGGGTTTTGTTTCACTGTGTTCTACAATCACATTATATGGCTCATCGAAACGTTACGCAATTTACCGGATTATACCACTGCCCAAAATATTGGGAAACAAATAAGGATGCGATCAGCTAAACTTTAACCATATGTATTTAGGGCTTAACCTCCTCTTCTGTGACCTTGAAATAGGCTGGTAAATGATCAACGATAAAAGTGAAATAAGCTAGTAAATGATCAGCAATATACACTTGATATCCTCACAATTAGTCGGGGTCCTTCCCAGAGATCTGCAATGCGTAAACGCATCATTCGACTGGCTGCACTGGTGCGACGCGGCGGCGTTTGCGGGACCGTGAGTTGGTTTATCCGATTGCTTGATTTCTATTCATTATTTTTTTCTATTACGTTGCTTTTTTTGATTACTGTGTGTCATATTCGTGTTTTACTGATATTTTGTTTCTCCTTTGAGTTCAATCACTTCCTTCCCCTGGTCCCTACAACTGGTGGGTACGCTTTCGTGCCGTTTATTTATTGATTATTGATTCAGTTCTATTGACTATTGAGGATCAAATATGGCGAGGATCACCCGTAGAAAAGCGAACACCCCTGATGTTGGAGAAAGTATCCCTTTACCTACTAGGCACGGAGTAAGTCAGGAGTGCACGATGGTTAATGAAGACTTTGACAAACTCTCTGTAAGTGAGCTTTTGAGTAGTATCATTGAGACTAATAAGGATCCCATCATTGGCAAGATGCTCATGGCCCTCTCTGATAAAATTTCAAATAGTTTTTCTGATTACTTTGAGCGGGAAAAACGTTCACGAAGCATTGTAATTGCCGGGGTGGAGGAAAGCAAAAGGGATCTAGCTCCGTCGGCAAGGCAAAATGAACTGGAAACCACGGTTGCGCGCATTTTGGACGCCTTAGACGTGGAATGTAGGCCTTGCGAAGTTTTCCGTATGGGGAAGCTGGACCCCATGAAACCTAGGTTAGTGAAGGTTGTGCTCCCGACGGTCACTCACTGGCGGAGAGCATTGGGCAATGCCAAGTGTCTTCGTCAGTCAGGGTTCTCAAATATTTTTTAGAAAGAGCATGACCCTTGAAGAGAGAAAGCAAGATTTCGAACTCAGGAGGTTAGCTAGAGAAAAGAATGGAGGCAGTAGCAGTCGGGACTGGGTAGTCTTCCGCGGTCAAGTCAAACACGTCTCGGAATTACCCAGAAGGAACTCGTTTTTCGAATTTCTTTTTACAGGCTGGCTTTAGGGAAGTTGTGAGTGAGCCCACCCACTCTGGGAACATTCTTGACGTGATTTTTATTTCCAGGCCCATAGTGGATGGTGTTAGAGTCCTTCCCCCCCTTGCCACGTCTGATCACTCTATGCTTTCATTTTCGGTGGATGCTTCCCTCCCTCCCTCGCACGTGCCTCTACCCAAACCTGACTTTCTCCGGACGGATTACACAGCCTTAGGTCGCAGCCTTAGTGAAGTTGATTGGGTACGGGTTTTTGATGGCTATACCTCTGCATCTGATTTATATCGCAGGTTCTGCTTCGTTGTTTACAGGAGCTTATTTTCAACTGTTCCTTTCCGTTATCCACGAACATCCTGGGTTACAGCCTTCCGACTGCACATTAAGAATTTAATGTCAGAACACACGTCTGAGTGATGTTCATCAAATCCACTATGCAATCGACTCTATAAAAAAGTATGTCTTGACCTAAACCGTCACCTGAAAAAGTTTCGGGCATCCAGGGAGGGGCAATTAGCATCTCGGTCATTGAAGCATCTTTTTCTCTATGTCAATAACAAGATCAAGTCTAATTCACGCTTGCCGTCTATTGTTGATGGAAATGGTTGCTTTTGCCACAGTGATGGTAGTAAAGCGGTCGCTTTGGGTGATTATTTTGCTACCTCCTTCTCAAGTCAGAGTAGTTCTTATACAGGGCTACACTGCAGTGAGCTTGATTTCCATTACACATGTGATAACATCTATTTTCATCCTTCCGATGTTTATGAGCTGCTCAAACACCTCAAACCCTCGACTTCTGAACCCTATGATGGAATCCCACCAATTGTCTTCCGTAAGTGCGCCTCATCGTTATCTGGACCTTTGGCGCACATTTTCAACGTATCCTTCATGATGGCTGAGGTTCCTGAGCTTTGGAAAGAAGCATTGGTCACCGCTATTCCAAAGGTCTTGCACGCTCAGTCTGTCGGTGATTTCAGACCTATTAGTCTCACTTCTACACCAGCCAAAGTAATGGAGAAGATTATACGAGGAAAACTGTTGTCCTGGTGTCGCAGATTCAGAATCATTCCACCGGAACAACATGGGTTCCTTCCCGGGGCTAGTACGACAACCAACCTTGTCGAGAGTGTATTTGACTGGTGTCTAGCCTTGAATCAAGGTAAATGCATTGACGTCATTTACATTGATTTATCTAAGGCCTTTGACAGAGTCAATCACCAGAAGTTACTACGAATTCTTGATAGGCTTGGGATACGTGGCGGTCTGTGGAGGTGGTTGGAGTCTTACTTATGTTCCCGTCATATGACAGTCAGGGTTGGCTCGGGTTTCTCCAATAGGCACCTCTGCACCAGTGGTGTGCCACAGGGCGGGAGTCCTCTCCCCGCTTTTATTCCTTTTGTACACTATTGAGCTGCCCAAGGTCGTCAATACCTCAGTAAATGTTAAAGTGCAGGTCTATGCTGATGATGTTAAGCTGTATGGTATCTATGATGACAAAAATCGTGATGATGTTTGTGCAGCTCTTAAGCAATCTGTTGAGAAGCTCAACCACTGGGCGGCAAGTCTCGATCTGGCAGTGAATTTAAATAAGTGTTGTGTGCTCCATATTGGTAGTGGAGCCGCTATGACATATGAAGTGAATGGGGTCCCCCTGAAATGTTGTGAGACTGTTACGGATTTGGGGGTGATCATCGACTCCAGCCTCAAATTTTCTGCCCAGGTTGATCGTGTGATCAGTAAGGCTTATGCTTCGCTATTCACTATTTTCCGTAATGTCCGAAGTAGCAGACCTGATATTCTTATAATGCTTTAAGCCTACGTATTGCCGCGCATTTGGAATATAGCTCGCAAGTGTGGAGCCCGCTACGTAAGAAAGACATTTTGAAAATTGAAAAAGTGCAGCATGTGGCTACCAGATTAATTTTTCTCCGGGTGAATAGAGGTGTCCATAGGCGAAACATTCCTTGCTATGATGAACGTTTGAAGCTTTTCGGTTTAGACAGCCTACAATATCGGAGACTGGTTTCGGAATTAGTTCTCGGGTTTCGTATTTTACGTGGAGAAACGAAGTTAAGCCCGAGTCGGTTTTGGATTTTTAGACCCAGTAGTGTGAGGGGGAATGGATTCAGTTTGCACTACCCCAACATTCAGAGTAAGAACTCTTCATTACTATTCAACTTCTTCCTCTGTCGAGTTGCAAGGTGGTTCCAGGCACTTCCTAGCAACGTAATGAAGTCTGAAAGTAGTAGAATTTTCAAGTCTAAGCTTAAAGAAATCGATTTGGTCCGTGTATTAGGAGTGGACGTTCATCAATAATTATTTTCAGGACAGTTTGTGGGCGGTGTTTATTACAGTGTTCTCACTAGTGACTTCTACTTGAGAGATGGGATACTCCCGTGTGCTTTTCATGTGATGTTGGTACGTCGTGGTGTGCTTCTGCCGTGGTGTGGTTTCCTAGGTAGTGCCGTGACCTTGAGTTCGTACAGTGGCATCTGCTTCTGGAGGAGCATCAATTTTTTTCTTTTCTTCCGTTGACTCTCTATCTGGCCTACAGCCCATATGTGGTATTGCGTTCTTCATTCGGATTTGATTGTTATGATTTTGGTGGAGCATTCGAAGCTTGACTTCGAGTGGACACTTGGATTTTTGCTGGCTCACGGCATCTATTATTGTTTTTCTACGTGTCATGCTCGTGGTAATTTTTTTCCTCGGGCATCCATGTTAGGGTTTTACGGGAAGTATCTGTAATGTGTTTTCCTAGCCTTATGTTTTGTGAGTTGCTCGTTGAATAGCGGCACTAGATGCTTTGCTCCCTGTGTCTTTTGTCAGTTTGTGTTGACCTGTTCTGCGAACCGATTATCATTTTCAACGGACTGATCCACCTCGGGCAGAGCTGTCTTGGTTTTCTACATTCACTCCAGCTTGCTGATTCCACGTGGGCAGCCGGTATACCCGTGTTTCGGAGTTTCAGCAAGTCCCTATGACCCCATTGTTGGTGAAGGGCATCTTAGCCGGCTGATGCGGGTCCTTGCAGAAGACCATGCACGGCTCTTAGGTGGTATGTCCTGTGGGGATATCTCTGTGGTTCTTTCTTGAGGGTGCTCCTGCTCAGCGTGCCACTCATTCAACCGATTTCCTTTCAGTTCCTCAAATTTTGAGTTGAGTTGATTTGATTTTTTTTTCCTTAGTTCTTATACTTGCCTAGTGCTCTGCTGATTTCATATTATAAGTGTTTTGGCGTGTCCTATATGGATGCATTAAATAAATAAATAAATAAATAAAAGCCGACGGCGTTTTCACACAGGTTGTTTCCTTGCTGCCGTTTATTACAAATTTCGGCATTTCGTACGCTGGCGTACGCTGCTACAAGGTGTTAGGTTGGTGGGGAAAGTTTCGTTACATTTTTTAAACCTATCATATCAGTCCTCAGATCGATAGCGTCCAATCGATAATAGCAGCAGTAATAGCCAAGGTAAGGCTGATCCTAATAGTAGTGCCCGTTTCACTTTTCACTCCCCTTCTACAGAATGGAGCACGAATTCGTACCAGACCGTGAGCACCTGCGCCACCTCATACTTTTTTTTTTTTCTTCAACTCCGGATCAAACGCGACAGCTACCGAAGCCAAAATAAGGGATGTGTATAAGGAGCATGCCCCCAGTTATCGGACGATCTTGCGGTGGTACCAGCGCTTCACGACCGGGGACTACAGCCTTGAAGACGAAGACAGGTCAGGACGCCCATCAGAACTGGACATGAGGCAGCTTACGATCGCTACTGAGAATTCAGACCCCTTCCAATTTACTAGTGATCGCCATAGGTGAGCACTCTCGGAACTAACTATTCCACTGTGGAGGCTGGATTGCAGAAGCTGGGAATAACTAGAAAACTCGACACTCTATTTGTTGCCACACACCGCCTCAAACGTTGATCGCCGGGTGGATGCTTGTTTGACCCTGCTGACTATGCATAAAGGGTACAAGTGGCTGGACCATCTCATCACTGGGGATGAGAAGTGGATCTATTACGACAACTTCCACAGGAAAGCGCAGTGGGTTCGACCTGGAGAAGAGCCCAAGGAGATACCCGAAGAAGGTTTTGTTGTCCGTATGGTGGGGTGTACGGGGTCCCGTTCATTGGCAACTACTGGATGAGGGGGTCGCCATCACGGCTGACCTCTACACGCAGCAGCTGAGAGATTTGAAGAAAATCGTGGATTTACGGGAGGGATCTCTCCGAAAAGTCTACTTCCAGCATGACAACGCCAGACCGCACACAGCACGAAGTGTCAAATCGGAGCTGGTGCAATATGGCTGGACAGTTCTGCCTCATCCCCCGTACAGCCCAGACCTCGCTCCTTCCGATTACTGGTTATTCTCCGACCTAACCCGTTACCTGGATGGGAAGAAGTTCAAAACCCGTGCCCAGGTCGAAGTTGAGCTAGCATCGTATTTTGCCTCGCGTGAGGCTCAGTTCTGGAGGGATGGTATCCATAAGCTCCTGGACGTTGGCAAGAAGTAGTCGATCTCTATAGAGTAGTAGATATTCTTTTGAAAAAAAAGGGACAGAACTTTCCCGCCAACCTAATATAAAGCGCAGCCTTCCTAAATCGATCGCTAACCGATCACCATCGATGCAGCGAGGCGGCTGGAGGCGGGCTATGTCGTCGCTCTTGACACCGCCCCAACTGATTGCGATGATACCAGCTGTGTAAGGGTACGAAAAAAGGCAATAATGCGGCTGCTAAGGCATCGTAAGGTGCACAAAAGCAAGACGCGATCTAAGGGATGAGTTTTTTTTCAAGGGAGGGGTTTTTCGGATCCGGATGATTCCCTCATCATGAAGGTGGATCTAAAAGGTGGTGGTTGAACGTTGAGCAGACATGAGAACGCAGAGAAAAATAGAAAGTAGAAGGTATTGAGCTCAAGTTGACCCTAGACCGAAAAACAAGGCGGCTGCGAAAAGCTGCCAACGGCTCAGAATCTGTCATCTTCAGGGGGGGGGAGGATCATGTTCCTTTTATTGCAAGTCAAAGCTCGAAGGATTCAAGTGCGATATCAAAACTCCCGTGTAGGGTCGAATTGTGCAGAAGTGATAACCGTAACCCCAGAGCCATACAAAAATAACTAGTGCTCCAGGTTCAAGGACTCTCAGTTAGATAGAAATTGATGGTATGGCTTGCAAAGGCGGAGAAATCGTCAACAGAAACGTTTAAGGTATGGTGTAGCTCGTGGAGAGATTCGTAGTAGCTAAGCTTATGGCATTTATGCGTTATTTACAGCCAAAACTATGTCAATGATGTTCCATTAAAAATTAGCAAATTTGAAAATTTTGGTCTGAAAGATTGAAAAAATGTATCGAATGTCATATAAGATTTTCAATGGCCTAAGAAAAAAATCTATTCAAACCATCTGAAAAAAAACTCAAAAAAACAGAACTGAAATTGTGTTCCTTGTGTCATGTAAGGCGCCGAAACATTCGGAATATTGTGCGTCTTAGAAAGACAATTAGATTCTGAGTGATGCTGTAGACAAGAAAGAACGTTCAAGGTAGCAGAAATGGTAAGCCACCGTTTCGTCTATGTGTTGCTGAAGACACCTACTGAGGCTGCATTCATACTCCGTTTTGAGCAATTTATTCGCGCGTTGTGAAGATCGAGATGGCCTGATGACTGCGATGTCATGGCGCCGTGCTCCACCGCTAATCGCTGGACTGTTGGAACTGCGACTGCGGATCCGGCAGCTTGCCAACATACTCGCGCGGGTCGTTGGTATTGATTGAAGCGCCGCACGTTCGTGGCATGCAGTAGAAACGAAACGTCATCTAGGTTTTCACTACCCTTCACGCCTCTATCACGAACACTTTTCGTAATAGATACTGAACACATCTCTACAGCTCCTGACAGACCATCTTGTGGGTAAGGACAAAGCGCATTTATGAGGTGCAGAAAATCGTGCTTTCAAGCGCTCTCTCCTTCAAGACAAACGAGAAAACCAGAAGTTAGTCGTCATCATTGCCGGAGCAGTTCCTTCAAGAGTTTACTACAACGGTACATGGTACGATTAATGACAGCACTTGAGGTCTAGTCCAGCTTTCTAGCGGTAGCCCCCTTCCTCGCCCTCTCGTCGGTGAAGCTCGCAATAACAGCCCACAAACAATGTACTGAATTCCAGTGCGAGCAGATCCCCTGTCAAAGTTACCTACTAATTGTAAATAATACTCCTTGATATAGGGTGGAGGAGCATTCAAGGTATTTCCAAATGTTAGATAAGTCAGACATCTCTCTGCAGCGGTATGAGAGCATGAAATGGCATGAATGGGTAGTTCAATAATGAAAGGCCTTGCTGATGATAATCTGCACCTTGTTGAGATTAACATTCCAAATGAGTCTGCTCTCCTCACTTGCCTCACTTGGACTCTTGCGGTTAACGATTTACTATTCAGCATCGGCAGTCCATTTGAAAAAACCTTGGTTTAAATCGCAAAATCAAAAAAGAAACTCCGATAAAAAACACTCTACAGCATATGCAGAAACTGAAAGACGGCCAAGGAGAAGGCAAAGTCAGCGCAGAAGGGCAGTGGTCCGGCAACATTGCAGGTCCATAGAAGCGAACTTGGGAGTCCGGATACCAACAGGATAGGCCCCGCAACTTCGCTGATGTAAATCCAGAGGGTGCAGAACAGACTCAGTTGTGCAGGGAGAGAAAAGAGCGGAAAAAACTCCAACAACTAACGAGCGGTAATGCAAAAATAAGAAGCCATGAAAACAGATTCTTGCAAGATGGCTCGAAAAAAAACATGATAAATAAGCAGCAGAAGCAGAAGAGTATCTCAGTCTCATTGAGTATAAACAGTGCTCTTGGACCGAGTACAAACAAATGTGGAAGAACAAAAATGCGGATGACATTTGAGAACCCAACGGGGAGTGAAAAATGAAAAAAGGAATGAACCACTCAAAGCTTAGCAACGTCTTTTTAGATTGCGTCACTCACTTTGCTTCCATACGAAGTGGCACTTGGATCCACCCTCACAAGTTATACCCATAAACCTGCGCAATTCAGTACAGGTGCACTTCCGTATTTTAATGATACAAGGAGAACCTGCCACCCGCAGTAACCGCCTTGAAGAGAGCGAAAGGTGGTTGGGGCTGGAAAGGGAGGCAAGGGAGGTCCGAGATGTGACCCGCGTAAGTGAACGTATCTTGAAACCCCTGAGAGTCGGGTACTAGTGCTCGCATCTCTCACTTAACCTGGTTCTATCTTTTGGTGGTCTACGGAACGCGAATTCCAATCCTGAACGCGTCGGTCTCTCTCTCTC